AACTATGAGCATCTCTCAAAATGTCCTGTAATTGTGGTGGGTCACCTGTCCTCTTGAGCAAGGAGGCCGAGGAGACCCCACCAGATGGACTTGAGCCAGTGTCCAGTCTACAAAGAGGAGGGTCAACACAGCAGAATAATTTCTCCGTGCTTCCAAGTGAAGCCAACCATGGTTGAGCAGGACCTTTGACTTATCTTCACATGGGTGTAACTGGTAAAAGAAAGGAGCCAGGGCTCCTCCCAAGCCCATGTGACCCCTGAGGAACAGGTCCTCAAATGACCTTAAGAATAAAAATAAATTTGTTTATCAGGGCCAACTCTATATGGCCTTAAACATCCAAAAGGAAAGTATAACCAAAGATTAAAGGAGTCAATATAATTTCTTAATAGTCCATATGCATAGCTAAAGGCTACATAACAAGCAACAATGCCAGATAGGAGATACCTTCTTTTGAGTTGTTGGCCAGGGTGGCCAAAGGGACTCCCAGATAGTAACCCAGCATAGAACTGGGAAAATGAACAGCAGACCCTAATCTTATCTAAAGGAGTATTGACAACTGATTGCTGCTAGAAGAGGAACAGCTGACTCTGCTAAAACAAAGACCTCTAGATAGACTGACTAGATTCAACAGAAGGGCAAGTAGTGGGGACTGACTGGGTGTGCGGACAACACAGCAGACAGTAGCAGGAATATCAGCATATAAGGGCTCTGGTCGGGGAGAGGGAGGTGATTGGAGGGTGCGAACTGGGATGTGGGTGTATAGTCGAATAAGGTGGTTTGGGACGTTCTGTGTGATACACACACATACACAAAAATCAACAAATTTTTTAAAAATGTATTTGAGAAAGGAGCATGGGAATTTATGTCATGCTAATTAGTACAGATGGTAAACATTACCATTGAAATCCACTGATGACTTCATAGACATACACAGGCGCCAAGGATCCAAGTGCAACTGTTTATGACTAGTAATAATCAGATGCATACAGATTAGAGATGCATGCGCCAACATCTCAGTGTTAGTAGCAAAAACAATGAGTCTTTCTATAAGGCAC